AATGACTTCTGTACATTCGTTAACCCACGTAAGTGTCTGGACAGCCTATCCTTAGCCCATGGCTTCAGTGTCCTGCAAGAGCGGCGCTCGACCAATCATTGACAATGACTTGTTACTAAAAGAATATAGCTATCTAACTTCTAGTAGCAGCTACTTCCGTTGACGAAGGTTCTTGCGTCGATCCTCTGCAGCCCATTCTTCTTGTGCTAGCTTGATTAATAAGCTTGTTGGATCTTGCACGCTCTTTCGTTTTCCTACTAGTTGTTCAGAATCAATAAAGGATCAGTACCAAAATTCATAAAATCAGTGAAGCTGCAACTATATACGTAGTAATTCTTAAGAATACAGAATATAAACAGTTACGAACTTATCGGCTACAAAAAATGAGAAAAACTAATTGACATAAATAAATTCAACAATTATGCTTTCTGGTAGTTATTGAGGTCACATGAACTTCAACAGTACAATTCAGTATAAGTCTCAGTTACCTGGTGTTTGACGTTTGTGGTGGCGAAGGGCGTGGTTGTGGGCCAAGTTCATCGATGAAACGAGCACTTGATCGTCGGCGTGTCTTGATGCTCGTAGACTGAAACAACATCCGGCATGTTTGCAGCCCCATGCTCCTGACTTGGTCGAGCGCCGCTCTTGCAGGACACTGAAGCCATGGGCTAAGGATAGGCTGTCCAGACACTTACGTAGGTTAACGAATGTACAGAAGTCATTGTCAATGATTGCGTTGAGCTGTACACATGTAATGTACTCATGGACCACTGTTGGAGGCACGGTGAACCGCAGAGTCACGGCCATCACCAGGTAGTCTTCGCTGATGTATTGGTGATCCGTCATTGCGCAATGGACAATGGGTGAACAGAGGAGGAATCCGGATAATTATCCGGATTGTTGATTTAAGGAAATTGCGCAACCATACTTGCCACAATGATTACGCAACAACACCGTCGGTGTTGTTTCGAAGGAATTAATCCCGAACGACCATTGATGGACTAACTTATTTCATCCAATTAAAACGCCAATCAACTCTGATTGGACAAAAGGCAACCTCTCGACAAATTTAACCTGCATGAATAAATGGAGGGGGAAATATTTCATACTACCTCCAGCCGGATTTAAACCTGCCATTTCGAAATTTGTAAAAGTCGGAAATAAACCCGCCACACGAGAGACCCCCATAATATATTAAATAATTATACAATTCAATACAAATAGCAGTATAATATTTAAAAAAAGATTTTTTAAATTAAAATAGTGACAGGTCATAATGAAACTCATACAGAATTAATTTTTTATGCAAAACCTACACTCCTTCCTCATCCTCGCAACTGATCTCAAGCGATTCCAATGCAATGAAGATCTCACTCATTTCCAAGTCATTGGCAGTTTGCAGCGACAATTCACGCATGACTTCAAAGGACATGTTTTGATCGGTTTGTACAAAGTCGACGGCCCACTTGACTCGAGCCATTTTGTTGACATCGGTTAGGTTTAACATAAGAATTGTACTTCACCAAGAGTCCACGTTTATAGTAATCCTTCAACGTGCTTGGAGGGATACCAATGGCATGAGCTTCGTACATTAATGTTGTACGTTAAGCAGCAGGAACGGCTCGGATACGTGCTGGTAGATCGGTATACTTTTGCTTTCGACTGACCCTGCCCTTCTTTTGGCTTAAGATGTCCTCGCATACGATTTCACGCATGGGTAGGTCGCCGCCAAGTGATACGTTTGCACGCCTCCAAATCTCGGAGATCGTGTGGCGATTGCGGCCAAAGATGCGGGCCACGTCTTTTATGGCACCGCGTTGAAGTTTGCATGGCTTTTGGACAACGCGCAAGAGGAGGTGGTTTACCACTGCGCGGCGCTGGTCCGATGTGAGGTCTTTCATGGAAACTGCGCGAATCAGAAACGAATTGCCGCTCAATATTGATCATCATTCTGCTTTTCCGGATAGAATTAGTTTTATCCGTACAATTCTATCTTGATTTGAGTATGATATTTTGAAATTATATTGCCAATAACATTGGAAATGTTATTTTCCAACTGAGACTCCAATACGTGATACCTTTTCAGACTTAGCAAACCTCTATTAATTTTTATTTCTCGCTGGATGAAAAAAACTGACACATGGATTCTTCATACTTAGTTCAAGTATAAAAGTTGGCCCATCAATGGTCGACTGTGTAAAGTGCTCGACTAAAAAAATTCCTGTACATTCCTAAACTGTTTAACAGTAAGTCGATATCCTTGGAGTTATTCATAAAGTACTCATCATTACCTATCCGAAAATGTATCATTCCCACTCGGAAAACAAAAAAATAACCGAAATAATTGAGATTAAAAATAAGAAAAGTTGGCCCATCAATGGTCGGACACGTTATCTGATATAATTGAAGGGTGTCTTTCTACCATGACTGTAGACTTTGAGAAAGGGCAAAAGTACCCAAACAACTAGGTATATATATATACCTACCTAAACACCAGCAGGTCGCACATAGGTCGAGGGTTCGATCCCCGGATTCCCCGGATTATTTCCGCAAGGATTTATCGTCCCTCCCCTGGGGAATCCGGATAACAAAGGCCGCGTACGAAGACGAGGACCGAACTTCGAAGAAGATCGGTCGAAGCACGAGGTATGAAGCGTTGAGCGATGTAAAAACCGAAGATTACACACTGCCCCTGGTCGAGCAGGCGCGTTAAATTTCGCGAAGCGGTTCCATAACATGTGGTTCTAGTGTCGGCCCTCGCGGAGGAATGTCTTAAAAATGATAATCCAAACTCAATTAACCAGCAGGTCGCACATAGAATTTTCAGACCAAGCCATTGTTTTGGTACTATTTCGGATTGTTTATTTGCATTATTCTAATTAGGCTGAAATTGCTCCTACATAGGGAACTTCAATGTTGAAAATTGGAAGGGATACTGACAGGTACATACATTCTCGGCCGATGTGACAAATCCTAGTAACTACCGTAGTTAACGTTAACGTTATGCAAGGGGTTCAAACAGCATGCGTAGCCATGGCTTCCACACTTGGCCGAAAGAGTTGGCGAGGCCCAGTCGTGCATTTCCCAATTTTCTCCGATGAAAGTACCATCG